CATAACAAAACACCAAATAACCACARCCGAAGCATYCAAASCAATAAGTCAGGTGATGGGGCACATGACCCTCTATGAACAATAGGCTAATCAAGCCTATTGTTAGGCGATGGCCCTCTTTTGCATATGACTAACCTGTTTGTCCACCATGTGGAGGCAGTGCTTATAAGGCTGAGTTCATCTGGAACTCCTCAAACTGAGGAAGTCTCTTGGAGGAGAGACGAAACGTTTTACTAAAGAAGAACCCATCCAGAGGACCTACTTATTTTTTTTCTTTTTGATTACCATGACTGGTTTACTGTAGGTCAGTATATAGAGAAGAGGTGAAACGGCTGAAGCTGAAGATTACTGAAAAGCCTTCAGTCAGGGAACATTAGGAAGCAGGAGACACGGTGGAAGAGAGGCTCAAACACAAAGAGCAGACTGACACTAAAGACCTGTTCTCACCAGGGACTGAAAGCTGTAACTTTCATTTCCCTGATTCCATACAGAGATCTTCCTCAGATCCCCAACACACAAAGAAATATCCTCCTCCTTCTTATAAATCATGCTCCTAATAGGAAAATTTGATCCTGAGAAGATGCAAAGCTGACAGCTTACCCATCCTTTCTACCAAATTTTTTGAAGCCATTGGTTTTCCTTTTCTTTCCCTTATAACTCACAAAGAAAACCTCCCCTCCATCCAATCCCCTCCAGTCTTGCAACAAGCACTTTATCTTCCTGTCTGCAGGCGCAGCAGACTAAACACACTCTCTAATAGAAGGTGTTTTCTATCCAAGGCAAACCTGTCAGCAGGCAACGAGGCTTGAATCTACTGCGTCTATATACTTTTATCAGCATGCACRCTATTCTGAATAGGAGAACAACCTGCTCCAAAGTGGCTTGTTGCACAATAACAGAGGCGACCTTTATTTGTGTCTGAAGTGGGGAAAAAAGAAAAAGTCTTGCTTTAAAAGGGAAAACTTCTGTTTTCTGTTTGCTTGGTTTTGTCAGGGAACTTTTAAAAGACTTTATTGGTAAGTAAACACGGCGAAACTAAAAACTGGCCAAATGTGCAAAACGTCACTAAGAGTAACATTTTCTATAAAACTTTGTACTAACAGTTGAGGATTTCATTAACGTTTAAACCTTTGCAACCAAACTCTTTACTCCTACAACTTTTTGGGTTACAATATAATCATATACAATCAAATTGTTGAGATTTTTTGTTTTCTTTCATTCAGTTTTGTTCTCGCTGCTCTAGAACTTGATTTTCTCTTAAATCACACAGCAAAACTTTGACAAACTAGATGTTTTAACTYGAAACTTTCTCTTCAAAACTGGAAGTGAAGCATTTTTTAACTTGTTACAAACGAACTGCAGAAACATTTAAAATGCACGTATGTGAACATCAAAGTCTTCTGC